AAGGGGGGGGGTCATACCCCCCTGGCAACAATATAATTTAATTTAAACACACACACATATATAAACAATAACATGAGCGGACGATGGAGGTAAGTGGGCAATCGGGGTAGATATAATATAATTAGAGTTGGAACAGTCCGAGGCTTGCTTCGCAGCACTTGCCAAGTCGCGAGCAGGGCTGAGGGGGTTGCAATTGTATGCAAATCAGCTCTCGTGCGCATCTTTTGCCCTCCATTGCACTTTAAGTTGCTGGACCAGGAGTAGGCCTAGGCCTACCCTAGAAGAGTCGCAAGCAAATAAGAATCGAAGTGACTATTTCTCCGATCGTTCGGGAAAATAAAGTTGAACTCTATACTCTATTTCTCCGAACGGTTTCCAAACTCGATATTTTTCGGTTATAATTATAAATTTGTGAGATTTAGGCATCATCCTTTCATTCTGCGAGGACTGGGAAGGAGCATTTTTTGCATCAAATTCAATTTCTATTAGAGCTGGAGATTTTTAAATGCCTTAATATTCAGATTATACTTCAGTTGTGGTTGGGGCAACGTTCCCAGACTATACTTCATTAGAAAATACCTTAAAATGTTACTGCGAGAAAACAAGACTGCTCCAACTTATTTTACATTTAGTCACCCAGCAAAAACTAAAATCCTTCTTTTAAAAAAGAATCCCTCCATGCCCCCCCCCCCCACCTTCCGTTACACACACACAGACACAAACATGCACACTCACACACGTATGCACACACACGTGGGCCACTCCATTCGCTTATTATCAACAAATTCCGAGAACGGACAGCATTCGGAGGAACAGAGTTCAAGTTTCTTTTCCCGAACGTTCGGAGAAATAGAGCCAGCTAATAAGAATAGTGGACCACGAGGACCAATTAGCCTCAAGGTGTCAGGGTCATGGGTCAAAGGGCACAGTGTCATGGTCGTGATGACTGAAAAACCCGGTAAGAGACGTCAGTCGGTTGTTGGCAGTCGGAGGATTAGGACGTAAAAAACTGAGTAGGAGAGTAAGTAGGGGAGCTCGGAAAGGAAGGATAGCAGACCACTATGCACCAGGGGCGCCATGGCTAATTAAAGTAGTTCTGACCGGTGGTCCGGTAAGGCCGTCATTTTTATTCGGACTCGAGTCCGAATAACATTTTTTCATATTCGGAGACGAGTCCGAATTTAAAAAAATCTTATTCGGACTCGGGTCCGGAAAAAAAGGAAGTGTATTCGTTCTATAGATCTATCGTTCAGAGCTTCCAATTTTCTGCCATTTTTTAGTTTCCCCAACACCTTTTCTGCCGATCCAATGCCCGCCGCCTCATTGATACGCGCCCCCCCCCCCCCCATGTTTCCCACTTTCTTTGTTGTAGAAAAAGGTAAAATTGAAGATTAGCAGACCACCTGGCACCTGCATATTATGAGCTGTGTAAAAAAAAAAAGACCGATTCGTTCAAATACACAAGCCTGTGTCATCTCGATTGTAGTTTACCAAGAAAAAGTTGTGTTGCTGTGTAGAGCTGAGCATACGGCAACTTTTGATTCCATAGACCAGCGCACAATTCATACGTAGATCTACGTCAAGACTAGCCTTATTATTGTAATAATGATCAGTTGCCGGGGGGGGTGGGGGGGAGACTGACGCTTATGCGACGTTCAACACCCGGACCGATAGTGCCCCCCCCCTCCCCGACACGCACACACAGCCACATGTGTGCAGGCCGCCCATCCGACCCCAATACACGCTAACGAGCCATCTTTAATTGCTTCTGATGACCTCTTGACAAATAAACATTTATTAGAAGCGCTATAAGTCTTTTCAGGCTGGCCTCAAATTCATCATTTTGCCCAAAGTGATCCCGGTCTCTACCCAGCCTGAGGCGAGTCACGAGTGAGGCAGGACAGGAAGCCGGAGTCACGAGTGAGGCAGGACAGGAAGCCGGAGTCACGAGTCACAGGAAGTCGGAAGTGATGTCATGCTGGACAAGAATCAGAGTCCGAATGAATAACACTTCGGTCCGGTAAAGTACAATCTTATCCTACATCTAGATCTAGATTCTAGATTAGATCTAGAATCTAGTCTAGATCTAGATCTAGATTTCTAACTTGAATCTAGATTCTAGATTGTAGATCTATCTACCTGCGTCCTGAGATTACAGTCTGGACCGAGAGTTTTTAAGAAAAAGTAAAGTAAGACAGTCAGACAGACATGGCACATGCATCCCCGTCTTATTTTTAGCTTGAATGCAGTACCGCACGGCATATGCTGATGAAATACTACAGAGACCATGGCACAGCCAATATTTTCAAACTTAACATAATATAGATCTAGATCTAGATCTAGAGAAATCTAAATCTAGAAAATCTAAGATCTATGCAGGCACTCACCGAAAAGTTGTGCAGCCCCAGAGTCAGCCACAAAGTTTAGTTTACTTTACTTCGGGCAGAGTGATAAAAACTATGCCTCAACTCCGGGTACCTCAATGAAGTGAAACAAAACAAAGACAATATAATGAAAACGAAAAGAAAATTTCTGAACAAAATATCTCTTTTTAAGTATGTGCATTTTGGCTGTAAATCAGTGTTTTAACATGCATCCATCCTGGGAGAGCCATTATAAAATCACTTAAAACATGATTGTTCCTTTCACTTACATAATATTAATCCAAGTTACTTCCCCTGTAGTAAAATTACATGACGTCACAAAATCGCCATATTTGTGGGACGGGCCCAATCTGTACTGTCAACATAGAAGAAGAAGCTCTAAATCCGTGCATCTGACCTGAGAGTCCCATTTGTTGAAAACAAAATATCTCGTAAGTCTTTGATATTGTTGCGTATGCGTGGCCGATCACATGTACGATCTTTCCTTTTGCATTTTTGACAACAGGAGTGCTTTCTGGTCGGAGAGAACGAAAATATCCCAGTGAAGTGAAGAAGAGCATCAAGTAGCGTAATTATTAGTTTGCGAACAGCTGAGTCTGCGATGACCAAGCCAAGACGATTAGAATAGATATTTCTAGATTAGATCTATTGTAGATTTAGACATCGATCTGATGTTCTAGCTGTGGCATTTGGAGTGTAATTATAACGACAGATAAAACAATAAGAAGGCTTTGTCTCTTCACTCTTGATTCTACAGTAACTTACTGTCAGTAACAAAATCAAAAACAACAAACCTCTTCCTTTCTCATGTCTCATCATTCATCCATGACCTTTTTATTCTAGACTAGATCTAGAATCTAGATCTAATCTAGACTAGATCTAAATATCTAGATCTATCTAGATCTATATCTAGATCTAGAATCTAGGTCTGTCTTTTGAATTGCAAAGATACTATAGGGCTAGAGGTAGAATTCTGCATCATTATTTCAGCCAATATCTCATGTTGATTCCACCTTGATTATAATTGAAAGTAAAAGTGCAACAAAAAAAAATGCGTTGGTTTAGTCAGCGGAACCAGAAATATTGATTGATTCAATGATAAGCCCTGAAAAAACCCACACAAATAAGGCATTATTTCAATTTCACTCCCATCTCATGTTCATGAATGTATTGTAGGCCCAACCAACCTACTTTTCTTTTCGTGTAATTTTACACAAATTTAACTTGAAAATCTTTACCTCCATAGCAAATTATTTTGATTAACTTTAAGAAATATTTTGTCTCATTCAGTTCCATTGTGCAGCAATAGAAATTCACCTTTAAAAAAGAAATGAAAATGGAGGGGGTTGGGGAGGGGGGCGTGTCCCCAATATTATCCGGCAATATCTAAAAAATTCTGTGGGATTTGAAGGGGGCACGCCCCTTTTTATTTCCCTATAATTTGAGGTTTTTGCAATTTTGAGAATTTCTTAACTTGAAAGCAATTGATTTGTAACAGTTTTAGTGACCATTATATGTGAAATAAATTGTGTTCTAGTTCTACTGCCAAAAATAAGCCCCCAAAAGCAGAGTGCATGATCTGCTTGCGGGAGTAGAGGAAAAGATTACCTCTATTTTACAGTCAAACCAGCTTTAGTGGAGACCTCTCTAAAATGGAAACCTGTCATAACCGAATCTCCCTGCCCCCACCTTGATAAATTCCTTTTATAATTAATTACTTCTATGAAACGGACACCTGTTCAAGCCAGAAATAAAGAGAAATTCCTTCACTTAGTAAAGGAAAATCATCAAAATGCTTTGCCTATTCAGCTCTGGTTTGGTTCCATTGGCTTTAATATTATAATGTGCACCCATTTGTTAATAATAATTAACGCCAGGCACGAAAAGCGACTTGGTGGAAGATCGTTACCCCATCAATGTGAGTCCTGGGCAGTGCAGAGATGGTTACAATGGCTGTGAAAATGCTCGAGTGGTGCTCTTGCCCAAAAAACTTTCTTTGGTAGCCAGAGTTGTGACATTAATTTTTAACCAGTGCTTGCTGCCTTTATCATACTGCCAACAAAAGAAAAAAAAAGGCAAACGCCCCTTGAATTGTTGTTTAATATGGATGGGGGAGGGGAGGGTGGCATTGTTGGTTGTTGATTGAGCTTACAGACCAATGGGTGGGGCAACAAAGGCGATGGTCAGTCGTTTCTCTATTTAATAGGTCAAATTGTGGTCCCATGATGATTTTATGCTAGCACTGGTGACAGTTGATAAAAATAAGATCCCACCTGCTGAGCCTCTGGACAACCATCCCCATATTTTATTGTTTCTGTTTAGGTACTCAATTTATTTTACGTAACTATGTAATGACTGTGGCAGTGTAATGGTTCCATCATGTAGTAATACCACAGGCCCGGTGCCGGCAGTTCAGTAGGAAAATGAGGCGGACTCTCTGCACCATAGGGTAACCCCAGGAACATACTAATTTGTAGCCCTGTTCTTTGCGTCAGCCCTATAATATATCACACTCAATATTTGCTGAAGAAGTTGGGGCATTCACTGAAGATTGAATTTTTTCCGATTTATCTTCAGTAAGAGTCGAGATTTATAAAAATAAAGCTGAAAAGGAATGGTCAGTAGCTAGTCTGAAACCTGCCAAATGGCACTGTAATTTTCAAACTCTCCTTAATCGGGGGGCCTATGAAACATCTTTATAAACATTGCCTAAATGCTCCCAAATTTGGCAGTCAACGAGACGAGGGATTGATGATCACATTGCAGGCTTTTGTTTGCTTATGGAACGAAAAGCGAAGAAGTTGATTTTTTTTTCAATCAAAATCATCTTTCTTGCTAGTGGTGCTCTTTCCAGATTATTAGCTTTATTGTTCCAACACTTTTACTCTCAACAAAACTATATGGACAGCTTGTCCATTTTCCTTTCAACATGCAGTTTTGTTTGATATCATGATGCAGTGTGTCTTCTTAACACAGACACCGTTATATGATGTGGAGATTCATTTTGTGAAATGAAAAGAAGAAAGAAAACAAAAACAAGTTGTAGTGCTCTGTTTTGTTTTTTCTGTCCTATAATTCAAATAGAAAATTATATTTTTCCATGATATATATATATATATATATAATATTCTCCTTTCCCTTCCTTTCGACTATCTTTCTTTCAAATGATTGTTTTCAGGTTGGTAACAGTAATAACATCAACTTTTACAATGGCTGCTATAGAAAGTGGTAACGGCAGTGACAATGAAATGCGCACTGAGCTGCAGGAGCTGCAGATGCAGGCCAATATGGCGACTGATGAAGTAAGTGCTTTCTTGTTATACCTGGTTTCAATTTGTGAAAGGTGTGTAAGCTGAGGATGGGGTTTAAAGATAAAGGTTCTTGGAATTTTTTATTTTTAGAGAATTGTTTTCACTACATTCTAAAATCTCTATTTAAAATAGTGAGAGGTATAGTATGGATTATAAAGTGATATATTTTAGTGGTCAAGGATGTCATACAACATATGTTCAAAGATGATTTTACCTTTCAAGATTGCTGACATGTTATTTGCCTGTTTCGTTGTTTGTTATTTTTTTGTTTGGAGAGGAGGGAGGTTTTTGGGTTGTGTTTTTTTTTTTACGGTAATGTCAGATCATCTCCGATTAGTTGTAGCTAGGGTCAAGTCAAATATAATCTCAATGTGCCTGCTTCTCTGCCAGTATAGCCAGCCAGATGTATTTGACTATAATATGATTTTCTAAAATCTTTAAGCTTCTGTTTGCATTTGACTTTGAAGAGGACTTCAAAAGCATGCTATGTTATAACTGAGAAAGTATCCGTTATTGGCATTTAATGCTGTTTTACTGATGAGAGGATTTACTAAACAAAGCTCTGTGGCTTTGGGCTTTCCATAAAATATATTTCTGTTGGAGTGATAACTTTATTTTTTAGTTAATGGAAAGTTGGCCTGCTACTGGGAAATAATCAGTTGTCTACTACAAGCATGTCCTTTGGTTTCTAAATGTCCCAAAACAAGCAGGGTGGAGTGATGGAATAAAGGCTTCCTCTTGCTGAAGAAGCAGTGCATCAGAATCGTGGCTTTAGTCATGCATTCCACAAATTCTTCAGAATAAAAAAAAAGCCTGCTCTGCTCTGAAAAGAAGGAGCTAGTGCATGTGATAGATGTTTGTTTTATCAAGACGTGGGCAATTTATCATATAAACACGACACTTCTTTCATCTGATTTTAGTCAGGGTTTTATGAGAGCTAATCATTTGTGAGGCATCCTGGTGATATTAGGTGCTCGTCAAATTAATATAATCTTTTTCTATGCGGTAGGTAATTTTTTTCAAATTTTCTTTTCTTGCCTCAAAATCATTTATGTCCATTTAAAAACAAACTCTATGTGGACTTAACTGGAAAACATTAATCAAAGGCACAGAATATGTAAATTTGCGGTTTACAAGGATACAAAAGCTTTTGAAGTCACCAAACTTTGGCAGCAACTTTCTTGTCATTTGATTTTTACTTTTGACTACTCTTCAGGATACACATGGGTATTTTTTTTTTCATGGAAAGCAAGACAAATGAACAAGCTTTCAGGTGATACCAATAACTCAACATGCCCCAAAATAGAAAGAGCGCCTGATTTCACCAGGATTTGACACATTTATATCGCTGCCGAGGCATTGATTGGCTGCAATACTCTTGTTGAATCCACTGAATCAAAAAGTTGTTCTGTTTTCCCTTGAACCCTATCCGTACGCCCTGAGGTCATTTTGTACCCCCAGGGTTGTATTCCTCGCATTTTAGAATACTTCTAGTAAGAAGATCTCTTTGAAACTTTTAGTATTTCTCAAAGAATCATTTTGACAGACTGCTATGCAAAGATGCAGATCGGATTAACGCTTAAATTTCCTCTTTGAAAGTGGTGGCACAGAGTTCCCCATGTTGTATGAATACGATAGTAGAACACGACGTACGTATAGGGTTAAGAAGAAGACGGAACATGAAAGAACTGGAACAGTGAATGGTTGCATGCACTACAATCCAACGTGATATTTGATACTCAGTGTCACAGTTACTAGTTTGGTCATCAAAACAGGGATTTCATTTGGTCACATTGTCTGAGTATAATCAATAAAAACAATGATAATAATAATAGCAATGATGGAATTATGATAGTGTACTAATGGGTCTCACTTATTAAGCATAATGAAAGAGACAGAGGGCTCAATGCCAAAAT